CCTGCAATTGCTTGGCAGGCTGGCTGGCATTCCGGCAAAAACCTTGTTAGAGAGAGACAAGTTTCGCTTTTGTGGCACAAAACCCGCAAATTTTGCCAATTTTGCAATAAAAATGCTATCGATAGAGAGAAATTGTCATGTTGTGCATGTGTGAGCGTGTGAGTGTGTGTGTTCTGACACCAAATAACCGCTTTATTTGCTTCCATGTATGAGTATGCTTGTATGTGTGTGTTAGGACAATAAAGAGGAGTGTGTATAGGAGTAGGTGTGATTCTGTGTGTCTGAATAAAATATCAACAACAACTTTGGCAACAAACGTCAAACATCGATATACCAAACCCTAAATACAAACACACACACGCACACCAAACCAAAACAACATTTATGCCCACACACACAGACACACATACACGCACCCCCCCAGCCAACCACATAAAGTGGCGCGTGATATTTAAATTTTGCAAGAGCAAAAGTGTAAAATACGTGAGTGTTTCTCTTTACCTATTAAGCGAATAAACGGCTTGTGTGTGTATGTGTATGGAGTAATACACAGACAGACAATGTTTTCGATTAACCTGCTGCTGCTACCGCTGGTGGCAAGCGTGTGTGTCTCGGTGTGGGCATGTATTTGTACGTGTGATGACTGCCGAACATGCCGTAATTCTGTTCGACGGCTGGCTGGCTCAATGCAACAAAACAATAACACAACGTGTGTCATACATTGTTAAAGCGTCAATTGAGCCTCCTCACATCACACACACACATCACACACACTCACATGCATACAAAACCTACATGACCACACAAATACACAAATTCTCATTCACACACACAGAATGTCGATTATGCCACACGAACGGGATAATGTGATGTTCAACACCCAAACATAGATACTTGTACATCTAACAGATCAACTAAACATTATCCATGTAACTTCACTCACACACTTACACACACACACATATTTGTATTTATATTTTAGCCCCAAAACAAAATGAAGTATAGAATGTTGTTAGACAAACACTCGCACACACACATACACTCACCCATACATTCATACATGCATACAATCAATTTGTAAATGACTGGGCGTTGTTGAGCGGGAATGTAGCTATTTTTGTTTGTTAGAGATAGTTGGTATCGCCGACATGCCAATAATGAAGCAACAACACGCAAAATTATTCAATCAATGTAAACATTCGCTGTTACACAACTCTATCACAAATTGCAGCTGTCATGCCAACAGCTGGTTTTCTGCCATCATGACGGGGCCTTGCTGGGAATGGGGTAATTGGCAATATTGAAAAATGAGTCTTTATTTATAATGTAGCACCACGTGGGAAGGATTTCAATTTTTTTTACTTATATTAAATTATATTTCAATACTTTGTGTTAATTTAATAAAATAAAAAATATTTCAAAGATTTGGAAAAGAATGGGAACAATATTGGAAAAATATATGTCAGGAGGCCATTTTCGCAAATACGGCTTTAGCGCCGGGCTTCATGAATAAAAAAATAAAGACTTCCAATCATTTCAACTTCACTGCTTCTTAGAGGAAAATATATCCTCTTAATTATTCCTCACTTTCTGCAATAGAAAAAGGTTTTTTTCATCGATACGACATTGGTTTATGTGTCAATATGTTTAAAGACACAAGAAGGATACAGCTGCTATACATTGTAAGTGTTAATAAAAGAGAACAAGAGGAAAGGTCTAGAGTCCTACAAGCGAAGATTTTGAAAAGATGTAATCGCTTCCGGAGGTAACGATATTGTCCGTCCCATCTTTCTCATCTAACCTAGCACTACTATGGCTGTTAGGATTTACATAGTTGAAATGAAATCATATGATCCTTCTTTTTCTGTAGGGTAAGTTTATTGATGTGAAATATTGATTTTTACCAGAAGGAGTGGACCGATGTTGGTGATTATATTATTACGATGTACCAAGTTTGGAAATCGGATACTCCCTTCGAGAGCTATCGTGCGCATCAGAGAGAAAAACAGATGGATGAGCGGACGGTCACCCCTAGATCGATTGCAAATGCCCTGAAACGAATTTAATCTAGGGTCTTAAAGCATTATTTCGATTTGGAATATGGCTGAAGGTATAGACATATGGCAGAGGGTATAGCCGTATGGCTGAGGATATACAGGGTGAGATAAAAACTGCAACTAAGTTAAACGTCATAATTTTTACATTTTTTTTTTTTCAAATTAAAAAAAAATGTCGGAAATAGCATCAAATTTTAGAATAAGTTTAGACTTGTTCGAATTGGTCAACTTTGGCACGAATTATGGCCTTCAAACGGCCAATGAAACCGTCACCCGCTGCCCGAATCTTGCTCTGCGGTATATCGTCCAATTTCCGAGGAAGCGCTTGCTTGAGGTGATCGACACTTTGGTATTTTTTAGTGCCAACCTTGCTTTTGAAAATACTTCAGGCACAATAGTCCAACGGCCATTTTGCGTTGGAAATGAAGCGAGAAACCTAATTTTGTAACCATTCTAGGGTGGCGTGTGCTGAGTGCAATGGTGCTGAGTTCTGTTGGAATGTCCAAGGTCTGCTGCAAAATGTTTGTGTACCCAAGGCTTTAATACACCCTCCAGAATATTTTCGCGATAATATTTGGCATTTATTCTGATGCCACGGTCGACTAATACTAGTGGAGAGCGACCATCGGCTGTTATGGTGGCCCACACCTTCATGGCCGACGCTTGAGTTCTGGTGGCCAACCGAAGGTGCACATTTTTAGCTGATCTCTTTGGCAAGTAAACACGATCATTTTGTTTGTTTACCAACTCCTGGACAACGAATGTTTTCTCATCGGAGCGGAGAACACCAAATTCGGAAGTTCACTACTTTCGGCCAAGTGAAGTAACTCTTTAGCTCTTTTGAGTCTATTTTCTTTCTGTTGAGGTGTAAGTTCTTGCATTTTTTTTTTTTTTGTTTTTGAATTTCAATGGCTTTACGCCGACCTCATTTTTTAATATTTGCCGAATAGAATATTGCCATAGCCATTTTCGGCCACTGTAAAACGGGTTTCGATCAAGTCGCTTTGTTACTATTCGAACCATTTTTGCTTATGTTGTTTTTTTTCCTGGAAAATCCTCACCAAAATGCTTTATACTTTTGCACTGGTATGATTTTAACAGCTGTCGGACGAGTGACTTAGAAATGACAGCAGTCTGAATTTGGTTGCAGTTTTTTTCATCTCACCCCGTATTTTGCGATTATCTACAAAACCAATAGGCTTCTATTCTAATCCTAACTCCACCTCCATTTTCAATTTCGTGAGAATAGGGCCATAATTGCGACCTGTAGCTTGATTACAAATTAGCATGGACAGACGGACGGACAGGCGGACATACATAGCTAGATCGACTCAGCTCGACGAGATAGGAAGATCCACATAAAGGTTTCTATGTCGGAGACCAATATTTCGAGGTGTTACAGAATTTTTGGCCCAATCAAACTTATAATTTTTTTCGGAATTCGGAATTTCGAATCAAATTTTCGAATAATATTAAATCACTAAGTTACAATTGAAAAATTGTGAATATCATTGGGAATTCCGGATTTCAAATAGAATGACTGAGCTTCAGTTCCAATGCTCTGAATTTCAGATAGAATTTCAATAAATTGTCTGTAAACCCAAGTAAAATATTTGAAATTCTAATAAAAACAGGAATTGTTTCAAATTTGGTATTTGAAGTTCGCAAAAGATACTACAGCCTATGACAGAAAATTGACTATGCAGGTCCACGTGTTCATATAGCCCCCACACAATGGTACTTCCCTATATTCGGTATTTTGATGATTTTAGCTACAGTATTCACCAATTTTTTTTTTTTTTTTCAAATTTCCCATTTGCATGGCTTATGACAAAAGTTGCCTATACAAGTCCATATCGTCGTATAGACCCTAATATAACGGCTAATTCGGTATCTTTAAGATTTCAACATAATTTTTAAAGGATTTTATTTTTAAAAAAGTGCCAAATTCGTTTTAAGTGGTGGAGGGTATTCAAAGTTCGGCCCGCCGATAATACCTTCTACTATTGAATGTATAAGAACGCTGTCCATGAGGGTTCAAAGACAGCGCTATAAAAAATGGAACAGGGCACATCCTCATAGCATAAGTTGTTATACTACAGGAGAAGAAAAATATTCTTCAACTATCTATCCTATTTCTAGTTATCAAGACCAACTCATACAATCACAATTAACACTCTAACGAAAGCGAGGAATAGGACCTATACTCCACCAACAAGGCTATTGTGTACAGTAACAATTATCTCTCAATGGCCTACTTTAAAATGTGTGCCCTCAACCACATTTTCCTTTCGATACAACACCACTTCCGAAATTGGGTATTCTTCAATCTATCTCTGGTCAAGTAACTCTATCACTCTGAAAACGGAACGAAAGTGTTTTTGTTCAGCGTGAACGTAGTAGTTTTCACCTGTAGTAACGACGCCAACGTCAAACTACAACGATTACAAGTACAAACACACTTAAGAACAACACTTATGAAGGTTGGATGGTTGGACATTCTAAACTGAAAAAAGCATGACAGAACATAACAGGCATAGTAGTGGAACTTATGTGTATTCTCCTCTCACAGTAATGTCCGTGGGTAGACAATTGAATGGCAGTAACAGCCATGCAATGCTGAGGCTAATATTGTTGTACAACTCACTACCTGTGTTGACTATGAGGGTCTAATTACTCTCCATACATACGTGTGTGTGCGAAAGAACATTGTTGTTTGACAAAATCTTCGCATGTTGTTTGATGTTCGATTTGCCGCTTAGCCATGTTATTAGCAACGTTCACGGCTAATTGACGATGAAGTGAACGTTGAAGCTTTTTTATTAGATCCAAAGAGAGTTTTACTGCTGAATTTAATTTAATCTCTACTGTAAATTTATTCAGAAACATTTTTTAAAATTTCAAAAATAAATTGTTTTTTAATTTTCATTATTTGTGTTACAGCTCCTACAGGTAAACCAATACCCACAGCAGCCCACAATACCTCATCCACCTCTGTATATATTTCATGGAAACCACCGCCGCCCGATACGATACTTGGTGAATTTCTCGGCTATCGTATTACATATAGACCACGCGATCGCAACCCCAATGACACCAACGAGATTTATCTGCGAGATTCAACAATTGAGGTAAGTTGAAATGTTAAAAAAAATAATTTAATATAAAACAAACTATATTAAAAACGTCGACAAAGAAAAAATTTGTTTAATGTCAAAATTTGTTGAAAAAATTAACCTTAATTAATTAATGATATTTTTTACAAGAAATGATTATGGAGTCTATGGAGGGTATATTTGTCATTCCGTTTGTAACTCCTCCAAATGCTCACGTCAGACACAACAAAGAAAATATATTCTTGATCAGTGTAAAATTCCAAGTCGATTTAGCGATGTCCTGCTGTCCGTCTGTTCGTCTATCTGTTGTAATCACGCTATCTTTCGAACAAATTAAGATAGAAGGTTGAAATTTTGCACACATGTGTATTTGGCAGTTTAAGTTCGTAAATGGTTTATGTCGGTCCACCTTTTCGTATAGCGCCCACCTCTCACAAAAAAATGCGTCATGAGTTCCCCGCCTTCGTATAGCCCCCGTATAACGATGCCTCCCGATTTTTGGTACTTGATGATTTTATCGACGCTATTCACCGGAATTGTATCACATTTCGTATTTGAAGAAGGTAATGGATACTACAACCTATGACAGAAAGTTTTCTATGCAGGTCCACCTCTTCGTACAACGGTTCCCCCATTTTTTCGGTTTTTTGACGATATTAGCGACATCATTCAACGGAATGGTTTTCATTTTCTTATTTCAAGGTTCTAATGGGTTCTACAGGCTATGACAAAAAATTGTGTGTGTATTTTGTATTTATCTTCGTATAGCCTCCATATAACGGTTTTCATTTAAACCCTATTTTTCAACGATTTTTTAAAGTATTTCAAGTTCCTTCCAAATGTTGATGCTTTTTTATTTGTTTTGCTGCAGAATGTACAAAAACCGTTTGGTCCTCAACTATTTTGTCCTATTTTTAAACATTCAGCCATATGGCTATTACATACATCCTAAGTCTCTTTGGCCCATATCCGTTGCAGTACATTTGGATTTGAACTAGGGCACGATAACCTTCGATTAATAACCTTCCGATTTAAAATATTTTGCTTCTTAGAAAGAGAAAAGGTCATCCGATTTTGCTCCAACTTTGTAAATCTAAATATTTCATCAGCTCTAGATCAGGTGCAGAAATGAACAATATCGGTTCCGCCAAGTACATCCCCCACAAAGTGTCAAATTTTTTTCATAAAATGCGAAATAATTATCCGATTCTTTTCTAATTTAGAAAATTCTAATATTTGTATCGAAGCTAGGTCAGACGCGAAAATGGGCCATATTGGCACATTCTATCAAGTTCTTCCCCCACAAAGGGTCAAAATTTGGAATAATTATAACTCTAATAAATTTTAATATGAAAGTCCGATTGTCTTCAAATTTTGCACATCATAATATTTATATAAACAGAATATCTGTTGTGAAATAAGCATACAATTACCTCCAAATTCTGCACACTCCTTCAAGTGGCAGAGACACAATAAGTTAAAATGTTGAATAACTAGCTGAATAGCTCATAAAACGCGAAATGAGCATCCGATAATTTTCACACTTGACACATCCCAATATTTATACTAACACAACACTTTGTCTAAAGATGAATTGCATCGGTCCACTCCTTCTGGTACCTCCCCCCACAAAGAGTCAAAATTATGAATAACCGAAACGATCATAAAATGTTCATAAAATGGGCTATATATTAGCCCATTCCCTCTGATACCTCCCTATGAAGTATCAACATTTCAAATTTTACACATGTTGTAATTTCTTCTAAAATAAGTTCTGCTGTGAAGATGGGATATATTGGTGCACCCTTCTAGTACCTTCCACACTAAGGGTAAACATTCTGAATATCCATGATTCTCATAGAATGCGAAATTAAAATCCGATTCCATTCAGACTTGACATATCTGAATATTTCTATCAATATAGGGTTGTTAAAAGGACAGGATCTGTTCTGGTACCAGAGATAGATCGGCCGATTTCTTCTGGTACCTCCTCCATATAGGACTCAAGATTTTGATAAAGAAAAAAAACTTCCAACTGCTTTTAAATTTTCACAATTTTCAATACTTTTATCTGTTATAACTTACGAAACGAATCAGCTATTCTTTACAACTTGCTATATCTAAATGTTTCTGGCAACCTAAATGGAATACCAAAATATGGAATTGATGATTTCGCATTAAATTGGGTATAAGTGTTCGATTTCTTGTAATTTTGCCTATACCAATATTTTTATCAGAATTAGATGAAGTATGAAAATGGAATACTTCCGTCGACCATGCCTGGTAATTCTCGCAATATTTTCTAAAAATTATCACATAACCAATATAGTCCAATCCTGGCACTTCGCAATAATTATATCTTATTTATTTAGGTCTGATACGAAACGGACAATATTGGCCCATTCCTTCAGAACTTACTCCATATAGGGTCAAAAATTTGAATAATCATAACAGAAGTTAAGATATGTTGAAATAATCGAACATTGGCTGAGGGTGTACATCTGTCGGCAAATCCGTCTGATACTATTTAACTGGTTTTATGTCAACTTCAGTAGTTATATGTTAAATATCTTATTCAAATTTTTTAATTCGAAGATGTCAAAAAATTAGAAATATTGGTTAGTAGAATGATATTAAATTAAATATTTAAATGTTATTTATCAACAGTCAGATCGATAGGGAAAATTTTCAGAAACAGAGAATTAAACATTTATTAAAATCTATTATCTTCACCTATAATATTGGGAAAAAAATAAAGCCTCTATATAAGGTATATAATTTGGTTAGGCATATTATTTTTTTCATTCACTATTAAGTTTAAGGATCATTGCATAGTAGAGTTGTGTCAGTCTCTTTCAGAGTTGAGTACACCAATTGCTGAACGTATGAGCGATTTCATAAATTTCATAACAACCATGGTCCACTGAACTAAATAATGAATTAGTTAATCAAAGATACTAGATGGGCTCAACTCTATTGCATAGCACCTGCGATGTTTCTCACTACGAAACTCGTTGTAGCTGATGAGTTTTCATATGTATGTATTACGTATTGAAAATGTATACAAATTATAAATGAATAATATAATATTTTATTAATAAGTTCTGGAAAAACCTTTTTTCGAAATAGTGACATTAAAAGTTTCAAATGGAAAGTTGGAAATTACACACACATATATGTATTCGAATATATGTTAATGTTGCTCTACATAACTAATGTGTCATTAAACTTGGTCATTTGCATAAATTTTGCCAAAATCATTTTTAATTCATTGTCTGACTAAATAATTAACAGCCAACTCGAAAAGTTTCCTCACAACATTAATGACAGCCAAATGGAAACACACATTTAATCTCTGGGCTTAAGAAATGCTGTCATGTTGCTGATGCACATGCTATTCATCTGCCAGGCTGAGTAAAAGTTCCTAATTTAGGCTCATTTGAAAATAAACTAAATTTTGTAAATAAATGTTTGTGCGTGTGTTGGTGTGTGTGTGTGTATTTACAAATGATTTTGCCATTTTACAACATTCTGGGAAAAATCTTTTAAAAATCATTTAAAACTATTTTTAATTTCAGTTTAGTAAAAGTTGCCACTACAGTTCTGCAAAATATTCCCCCCAACGCCGCCCTTTGAAAAGCTGAACTATGCTGTGCTCATTTATCCGTTACCTTTTTTTCTGCCAACCCGCCCCCCCAAAATCTACTCATATATATAGACATAGACAATTTATGAACATATTTTTAAGTTAAATATGCTTGAAAAGTTTTTAGGCACTTAACATTAATGAGTAGTTCATACTCTTACGGTTATGGAAGACAGGCACACACACTTCAACATACATACATACATACATACGCAAGTGTATAGGTGAATGGCTGCAAATTGTCGTTCACATAAGTCGTATAGGATTTTCCGTATATAGAAAAGGAAATTGCAAATCATGACAGAGGGTGGGTGGGTCGTGGTGGTGAAATAGTTGTTGCTACTCTAGGTTTTTCGGTGTTAGTCCAATGTACCTTTGCACTAACACACATGCCGTTCCCTCATACACCCACACACATGAACATATAAAGCAAATATAAGCACCATTATCTCTTGTGAATTATTAAAAATTATATAATTTCATTTCTGTTTCAAAGTTGGACTAACAGTTAATCCTTAAGTGTTTCGAGAAAACTGCAAAGAACTTTGATATTATTTTAATAACAGTCATGGCTAATAGTGTGAAAATTTGTGGATGGTAACAGGGATCATTTAGAAGAGCTACTTTTCTGGCCAAGAAAGGTTGGGAAGAATATGAGTTCGGATGAAGAGGATCTTCTTGTGATTAATTTACTATAATTGTATTCTGGGAAATGGTGTGCTTCCTTTAGGTGACAAAATTTACATATTAACCCTAATGTGGCAAATTAAAAATCCTCCTTAGTCAAATTTTCAGACCAAAGATTATAAACTAGAATGGGATACATAATCGAAAAAAAGTATATTTTATACCATATATATACTAAAAGTCTACAGTACACCGTACAGCACCATAAAAATAATTACGAAATAACATGTCTCGGAAAGAATCGATATTTTCAGTTTTTCGAAAAAATAACCAATTAAAAATTATAATTCCTATGAAATTGCATATAAATTTGGTCCCTACGTCTGTTTGGATAAAATCCGTTTAAGGACATTTGGGGTACATCTAGCGATGTCCGTCCGTACTTCTGTCTGCCTGGCTGGTGCGCACGATAACTCTCGTAAAGAGTATCCGATTTAATCCAAACCTGGTACATCGTAATATTATTATCAAACTTAGATCGAGTTCGGAGATGGTCAATATCGGTTCACTGCTTCTGGTACCTCACCCACAAAATGTCAAAATTTTCAAAGAAAACATGTTAAAAAATAGCATTCGGTTTTGTCTACAGATGTTCGATTAATTAAATATATTTTGATTTCTGTTACGATTATTCAATTTTTAGACCCTTTATGGAGTAGGTTCCAAAGGAATGGGCCAATATTGTCCATTTCGTATTGGACCTAAATAAACATGATATGAATATTGCGACGTGCCAGGTTCGGACTATATTAATTACTTGCTTCACTTTATACATAATTTTTTAATGTTACAATGTTGCAAAGCACACATTCATATCAGATTTCTAGTTAGCAGAAATAAAACAGTGTTGGCTTGTTTGTTCGGGATACCATAGTATTTTGTTGTTGCAAAATGGTCAGGCTTAATCTCTTTATTGTTGTTTTTATAAAAATTGTTTTTATAAATATTTAGAAAAAAACAAGTTTTTAAGAATCGCTGACTTAAAAATATTGAAAATTGTGACTCCTTGTAGATTATGTACCAGGAGGGGTTCGCCGATATATTTCATCTTCATAACAGATCCAACAGATGTGTGAAATTTGAAGAGAGTTGGGTGCTTATTTCGCTTTCTTTGAGTGTTTTGTTTTTCAAAATCCTAAACACTATGTGGGGGAGGTACAAGAAGAAATGCTCCGATCACTACCATCTTAATAATAAATCTTGTGTTGATAGAAATATTGAGATGTACCAAGTTGGAACGGAATCGGATATTAATTTCCTGTTTGATGAGCTTCATGGATACTCAAAAAATTGACCCTTTTGGGGGAGCTACCAAAAGGATTGGTTCGATCTCCATCTTTATAACGCTCAGAGAAAGCGATTTAGAGACCGACTATCCATGGATCGAATTGAGATAGAAGGCTAACATTTTTTATACATGTGTATTTTGCCAGTAGGTCATATAACGGTACCTCTCAATATTCGGAATATAAATGATTTCTGCGACAGCCTCTGACAAAAAATTGTCTATACATGTCCAAGCCCTCGTATACCCCACGGTAACGGTACCTCCCCTTTTTATACCCTACAACAATTTGTGTTGGGGGTATTATAAGTTTGATTGGGCCAAAAATTATGTAACAGCTCGAAATATCGCCGAGCTGAGTCGATTTAGCTATGTGTGTCCGTCCGTCCGTCCATCTGTCCATGTTAATTTGTAATCACTCTACAGGTCGCAATTATGGTCCGATCATCACGAAATTTAGAATGGAGGTGGGGCTAGAGCCAGAATAGAAGCCTATTGCTTTTGGTGATTGCATAATATTTAGGGGTGGAAATGGACCAAACCAAATTTTTCTGATTTTGTAGTCGCTCTACAGGTTGCAATAATAGACCAATCGAAGCGGAAGTTAGCATGGGGCTGGGCAGAAGCCTTCCAATTTTGATGTTCATCGGGTAATATTTAGTGGGTGAAATAGACCATCACATTTGTGTTAAATAAAATACAAATTTTCCATTAAACCACGAAAAAATTTAATCCCGTCAAAACCACAAATAGACGAACAGGTCAACCCAGACCGTTACGTAGATTCCGATAGTACATATATCAGATATATATATATCGAAATATATACAATGTGTACACTGAGGGAAAAATCCCGTTGCGAAATCAAGCACGTATGTTGTCATTTTCGCAACGACCCGTTGTTATATTTTTCAACAACGGCTGTTGGTGAATTGTGCACGAACGTGCTCAAATTGACACCGAGACGTGGTCAACTTTCGGTACCAACAACAGCCGTGCTTAATTTGTCCATTTGTAATATTGGTAATTGCAGCCGATTACACACGAGTAAAAAATGACAACGGTGGTGCATGATTCACACACGGTCGTTGTCAATATGACACCGGTCGTGTATGAATTATGCACCACCACCTGCATAATGATGCACCACCGTTGTTACTTTGTACACCGACGTGCATGAATCGTACACGATCGTTGCCATTTTAGCAACTACCGTGTATGAATCATGCACCACCGTTGTCATTTTTTTTACTCGTGTGCAATCGGCTGCATATTTACCATTTTTTCCGTGTTATTGAAAGAGAAAGGACGCATTGTGCAAAAAATTTATTGAAAATGAATAATAATTCGCAAGATCCTCAAAATATCATTGGTGAGTTGTTAGAAATCGATGGCAATATTGTTGTGGTTCGCGATACAAACCATTGCAGCAGTCAAGATGCGGAAAACAATGAGGACGATTATATGTTAAGGGAGTTCTTAAAAGGAATAAATATGGAGTCGCTTTTTGAACAATTAAAAGGTAAGTAAATAAAAATGAATTTTTCAGTTAATCAGTGTAATTAACAAAGAATTTTCTTTTTTGTTCTTTTAGCATCACATGTAACATTTCGCAGCTTGCAGTACTTGAAAAAAGAAGATTTAAAGGAAGCAGTGCCACCATTGGGACTGCGTGTTGAATTCAGAGAAAAGCTCTTTGCTTGGAAAAAACGAAAGGTACGTATTATTTGTTTTACAGAGTTGAACTCAGTATTAATATTGTCATAACAATAGCTCGGGATTGATGACGAAACTATGTCAGTTCCATCTAAAATAGGTGAATGGTGGAAACGCAACGAGACACCTGCAAGTACTCCTGGTACTCCCGACACTACAGGTTCGAACTGCTCAAAAGCCAAAGGAATTTTGTCAGAGGTAAGGTAAGAGTAATATTTGTGTAAGCATAGTTAATGTAGTTTTTTTATTTAATATAGGATCTAACGGAATTGTTAACACATACCTCGAAGGGGAAACTAGCGCTTGAATGTAGTAGCGTTAATAAGAAATTAAGTGACGAGCAAAGAGATGATATAATTAATATAATTATTGAAGATATTTTAACCAACAATGTTACTCTTTACACTCAAGACTATATGCGCATATTGGATGAAATTTGTTCCGTTTTTCCTCTTGAAAACGAAATGAGGGTAAGATTAACAATATAAACAACGTATCTGATTATGTAGTTTCTTAACTTATAATATGTCTTTATTTTTAGGATTATTATTACATTTCAAGAAAAGGAAAGAACAACGCAAGCGGAAAACTTTATGCCAAGTATAGAAACAAGAAGTCCAAAAGAATAAAGCTTTTGATTTCCGAGCCTAGCACAAGCAAAGCAGCAACTCACACATCTCCTAATTTTTGTAACAAAGATGTTCCCGAAATTGATGAATCAGTTGAAAATTCATTGAAAGCTTCCTTACTAAGAGAATGTAATGATTGGGGATCGATCTGCGAAAAATGGAAAAGATCTTTTAACATACGGCAAAGAGATATAAAAAATTTAAGTAGCCATACATTTCTCCTTGAATGGACGAAGTTGTCCGATGCAAGAGCTTCAGAATTGGTAAGTAGCCATGAGCTATTTATTTGTATATGGATACTAATGTTTCGTTTTAGGTCAACATTGATTTCGATATTATGTATCCACAGAAAGGCAATCTTCTACTTTCTAAATGGGACCAATTTAAGAAAAAAATTTACAATTATTATGGGAAAAATATTCATAACGAACATTGCAAACAACTCTTCGCAAATGTTTTGACGGCAAGCAGCATAGGTAAATTTTAATTCCTGATTTATCATAAACATTAAAAGTAATATTTATTTTATATTTCGGTTGCAGATGCTCAAGATTATATATACGCAATACTGTTGAATTCAGTTTTACCATCACCTGCTAGGTTTAAATGTGGAAACGGTAAATTACGAAAAAAAGTAACAATAGCTGATTCGCAGGAAAGTTTCGTACTGCGACTACCGACAATTAACGATTATAAAAGGCAAATTGATACAGTCACTGAAAAGTATTACAATGCTGGATTAACTATACAGCCATTTATAATTGTGGAGGGTTTGTCCGATTTCAATATAAAAGGTTTTTATGTTTTTTTTAACCACAATTTGTTAAAATTTCAATCGTTCCTCGAATGTTTAGATACATGTTTTAAAATTTTTCATGCACTTTCTTTAAAATATCCAAATGCCTGCCAAATTCCATGGATTTTTATCCAAAAATATTTTTATGAAATTAATACTGTATATGATATAAAATCAGTTAATTTGACTTCACTTATTAATTTCTGCAACAATAATTAAAGTACAATTCAAAATGTATATTTGCTTTCGTTGCCGTAAGCATTTTGATAAGGCAAATCTTTTAATAGCTCATTTGAAAACAGACCATTTAATGTCCACTAAATTTTTAAAAGTACAATGCGTTCAGGACAACTGTAAGCAAACATTTACAAAATTTACGTCATTCAGAATTCATTTAGAAAAACTTCACAAGAATCACACAAAAGCTCCACCAATGGTTAAAGCCATTAATGTGCCAGTTGAAATGTCATCATCAAAAGAAAATGATTATACAAACAGTGAAACTGTTATTAACAACAATACAATAGAAAAGGATTTAAATGTTTTGAAAAAGAAAACCTTATATCTGTCTTTACAATTACATGGTCAAAGCTATATGCCTAGAAATCATGTTATAGAAATACAACATTCTGTTTCAATTCTGCTTTCATCCATTTCATGTACAATTGAAAAATATATAACTGATCATCCAAATTATGAAGACTTAAGGTACTTACTAAACTTTTGTAAAAATCCTTTCGAAGAAACTAGAACGGAATATAGACTTTTAAAAATTTTAAAAGAACTAAACTTTTATGATGATCCAAAGGTTTATGTAATTAGCAATCAAGTCTCGGAAATTGTTATCAGCGGAAATCCCAGTTTAGGTCCAAAGTTATCCAATATTTATATAATGCCACTGAAATTCATGATAAGTGCCCTTTTTAAAATTCCAAATCTCTTAGATTTGACATTAGAAAACTCCAAAAAATTCCTAAATTCACCTGTTTTACAAAATTTTACAAACGGTGAGTTATATAAAACTAAATTATTAAAATATCAGTACAATTTAGTTATTCCCTATGTCCTTTACATGGATGATTTTCAAATTAATAATCCTCTTGGAACCCATACATTTTCCATATGTGGTTGTTATATTAGCTTTCCTTCAATGCCACAGCACTTGTTGTCAAAACTTGATTATATATTAACTGCTGCGTTTATACCATCAAAGGATTTAAAAGAACGTGGAAATGAAGTTTCATTTCACAATCTTGTAGAAGAGTTAAAAATTCTAGAAGAAGGGGTTGAAATTTGTGTTCAACAAAGTGTTCAGAAGGTGCATTTTATTTTAGGTGTAATTATTGGAGATAATTTAGCAGTTAATAGTATTTTAGGCTACGTGCAATCATTTAACTCTAAAAGATTTTGCCGGGTATGTAGAAGAAAAAAGTCCCAAATGCAATCCGACGCAATTCAGCATTTAGATAGTTTAAGAAACCAAGAGAATTACAACTCAATGTATTGGAAAATAATTTTCAAGAAACAGGTATTAAAAACAAGTGTATCTTCGAATCTTTACCAAATTTTAACGTCACTGAAAATTTTTGTTTTGATATTATGCATGACATTTTCGAGGGCATATGTGTCTACGATATGTCTAATGTAATTCTCGGGCTGATTCAAGAAAATATTGTTACGTTAGATTGTATTAACAGCAGAAAATCTTTATTCCAATTTGGAGAAATTGAAGTGGGAAATAAATCTGGACCACTAGATTTATGTAGATTGAAAAACTATAACTTAAAAATGACAGCTAGTGAAACTATGTGTTTTACTCATTTTTTACCTTTTATGGTAGGCGATTTAATTCCTTTCTCCAACGATCACTGGAAAGTGTTTATAATATTATTACAAATAATCGATTTACTTTTAAGACCAAGTTATATAGAAGACGATTTAATAAAATTGGAAGAATTAATTAGAGATCACCATTCACTTTATATAACATTATACGGTTCGTTAAAACCGAAACACCACTTTCTTGTCCACTATCCCACATGCTATCCGAAAATGTGGTCCCCTTAAATATCTCTGGAGCATGAGATTCGAAGCTAAACACAAGGAAGCAAAAGCCTATTTAGGAAATACTACATCAAGAGTAAATCCCTGTCGTTCATTATCTATTAAGTCTGGATTGAAATTTTCCAATTTTTTATTAAAACACGAAGATAACTTAGAACCAAATGTTATCATTAATACGCATACCATCGAAGATTTGGCAAAAGAGGAATATTGTTACAAAAAACGTAAGCCAGTTTTAAATTACCAAAATTGCAAAGTGTCTGATGACATTTTTTTTAAGGGAACTAGGTATAAAAAAAACTATTATTTAGCAACAAATAATGCCGCAATTGAACTTTTCAAAATTAAACATTTAATAATTGAAAATGAAAATGTTTACATTTTATGTAACCAAGTAAAAGTTAAAAACTTTGATTACCATTTACAATCGTATGAAGTTGGTTCTCTGAATGAGGATACAATTTTTTTAATACCAATTTTAGATTTTATTACTTACCCATTTCACTTATATCCTATGAATAATGGAAAAGTTTATTTCAGATTTAAGTTAATTTAATTTGTTTCTATACATTGAATATATGTAATTCGAATTGTTTTGTTAAATCAAATATGTATTTATATTGAATTTATGTAATTGGTTTCGTTCAATAAAATACTTTTCAAAAAATGTCGTTTCTTCTACTAAGGGTATAAAATGGAAAAGGAACGGATATCAAAAAATGACCACCATTGATTTCAATCTGACAACGGGCGTTGACAATCCGACAACGGAGCGTTGACAATCTGACAACGAAGCGTTGACGATCTGACAACGAAGCGTTGACAATCTGACAACGGGGCGTGCTCGAAATGACCACGTATGTGCTCATTTCATGCACATCTGTTGTTGAAATCGTTGCCAAAATCTCGGTGTCAAAATGACAACAGCGTGCTCATTTTGACACCAAACGTGGTTGATACACTATCATACACGGATGTGGTCATTTCATACACGGATGTTGTCATTTTTTCTCTGGGTGTATATACAAAGAAAGGGGATGTTAGCTAGAATGCTTATATTTCAAGAATGGTTGGGCCGATTTTGGCAGATTTTGTCAATTTAGAATGCCCTCTTGGCACAAAAGTATAAAATCTTAAAAAAAAGATGTCAATAATGATGTGAATATAGATTTTGTAGTATTTTGTGACAGTTTTTGTTATTTTTCATATTTTTTATCGCATGCGATTTTTTAATTTGACTTATAATTTTGAAGTGTATATTTTGTAACATTTTTTCACCTTACAACACAGGTTGGGTTTATATACAAATTACATTTATCGTCCGATCCTCACGAAAATTTTCACAAGGGTAGGGTAAGGCTCGGAAGAGCTAGGCTTATAGTTTTCAAAGATGTCCGTAATATATTAAGGGGTTGACAACAACAACTTAAAATGTTCCTGATTTTGCAGCCCTTATAAAGGTCACGAAATCTCGCGAGAAGTCTGAGTTTATGACAGCGGATAGAATGAACCACTACTTTTGTGTGAAAAAATTCCAGAATTACTTACAGGCGATATGCGAAATACAAAAAAGGCGAACTTCTGGCTTTTTTATGCTAATTTTGTTGACGAATGTAGCCAATTATCGTAGACAAGCAAATCATATAGATCAGTCTAAATTTGGAGATATAGAGGGGCCTCTTGCTTTTGAAGATGATCGCAAAATATTTAGGGGTTCAAATCAACCAAAAAAGAAAAAGAATCTCCTCATCATACAATTGAAACCAATCGAGTCGCCTGAGAAGAGAGTTAGGGACAGGGAAAAATTCTAGCGTTTTGGATGACCATTGGAATATATTTAGCTGTAAAATGGACCACAACAACTAATAGCACGACGGAGTGCGTAAATATTGGGCAAATGTCCCTGGTAAGGGTAATATTTGGGCAGTGCTCTATGACATGGATTTGGACATAAGGGGGCTTCTAACATATTGTAATGTTGTAGGGTACCACATGGTCGGCCCCGCACGACTATAGTCCTTGCTTACTTGTTTTTAGGTTTACTATTTGTTATTGGTATTGAACGATTTTGGACCTAATTTCTAAACAAATCAATTGTTATTTGGTTTTCCTGTTTTTTGATAATAGATTTTTTCCTTTCATAAAGTGTTCACTTGTGGCACTGCCTTCAAATAATGCATCTTTGAATTTTTACAATTTAATAGTAGTTTTGTACGACGAAATTTCATTCCTTCATCAAATTTAGTATTTTTACGAAATATAGCTAGGAAGACGCCAAACGTTTTGAACTAGTTACGTGGGGCCTGTAATTTGTGTATCACAAATGATTATATAGGTTGGCTTCAAAGGCTGAGCCCCAATTTAGACGTATTTTTGAGAGCTATTCCAATATCCTTAGAATCTGAAATACTAAGTAGAATTATGTGCTTGGGGCGAAAATGTCTTAAAATTTCCTATTTGGTGACTATAGCAAATCCTTAACCTATATTAAAAATTTCCTACCACGACGTTTCACCCATGTTTGGCCAGCACTGTAAACATATGAAACATAAAACAACACCCCTGAAACCCCAATGTAAGTCGGCAAGATTTATGCATTATGAAGAGACCAAAAAAAAAAAAACATTGAGAAAGCTGAAACATTTGCAACCATGAAAGATGGGTTAGAAATTCAAACTTCTTCTGGAAACGCATAATACAGAGGGAGTTGTGGCAATAAAAAGAACGAAACTCAAATGTTGTTTTGAATAGGAACCCAAAAAAGAAAGGACGAAAAAAGGACGGTTAAACATTTTAACTGCACAACGGACAAGCGTTATGCTTGTAACACACAATCTTGCAATGAAATAGACACACACTCACACATATTTCTCTAATGCAGGGAGTATGTGGAGCGTTTTCCTTTTTTCCTTTTTTTTCGGAAAAGATGCAAAAGCCAATAAAGTAACATTTTGCATGCATGCATGAATATGCATGCTTTTGCAATTTTATGCAAATAAAGTAAATAGAAAATATACAAAGACCCTCAAAATATGCAGTTTTGCCAGCAAACACACACACCCCCACACGCTCACAAATAAAGGTAATGAAAGTATGTTAATAAAAAAAATTATATTTTTGTCTGCCAACGGAAAACCACCAATTACGAGAACGTTTGTCAAAAAAGGGGGAACAAAAGAGAAAAAAAAAACAAACACGCCACTTCCATGTGGGCTAGCAGCAGCAACAGCACCAGCAACACAAAGCTAACCATTAAACTTTTGAAATGTTACACTCGAATTACTTTTTAACATTTCAACAAAAATATTTGCACGAATGTGTGTGTGTGTGCGGATTTTATTTTTACAAAGAAAGTGCTTTCCAATGTATTTGTTGACGGTTTTTTTTTTTTATTTCAACATTTGTATATTCAAGTGTCATCAACTTTGTGCTTCAAATTGAATTTAAATTAAATAATATTTA